GGAAGGAGGAGAGAGAGAGAGAGAGAGAGAGGTCCACTATCATGCATTAGAACCAGAGTAGAAACAGGGGACCCCAAAAAAAAAAGTAGCCATAAGAAACAATTGTTAAAGAAAACAACTTAATCATCCAAAAATTGCATGTGTGGAAATTTCACTGACATTCAAACCCTCAATCTTACTACTTGAGGTGGCCTCCTAAGAAACCTTCATGGAGTGGGCCACAAGCATGAAAGGAAGTGAAGATATAAAATCCCCCGTCATACTCAATCAGAATTCCCAAATAGGCATTTGGGATGCCTTCTGACAAGATTAAGTTTTTTTTTTTTTTTAATGTTGACTTTGTATTAAAGGATAGAAGAAATACAAAAAGACCAAGAGGGTCAAAGTACAAAATGTCACCGGAGCACGTGAAAAGTCACAAGACGAAATAAAGTAAAACAAAACCACCTGACGCAGTAGGGCTAAAACAAATGCCCGAAAACAGTGGGCAGTTAAACCAGAGCCCAATTAACCCGAGATAAGATCAGAAGCAGCTCCCTATTTGGCAAGATCATCTGCGACCTGGTTTGCCTCCCTCTAGATATGAGTCCAGGAGATCCGCATACCCCTGCAATGATCATAAATCTCGTCAAAAACATGCCAAAGTCTCCAAGGAAGTTGGGCAACCCCCGAAGCCAAAGATATTATTCTGGGAGTCCCATCTATTACAAGGAGGTGACCCCAAGAGCAGTTAAGGCATTTAAGGCCTTCTAGAAGTGCTCGAGCCTCAGCCTCAGTAGAATCAGTTCTCCCAATGGAAAGGGACAAGGCAAAGAGGGTGAGACCCTCGGAGTCTCTAAAAATGCCACCACCTAGGGTCACCCAGACAATTGGAAAGAGAGGGCGAATTTCCAAATATCGGCCACAAAAGGGCAGTGGAGGAAGAGGCGATCATTGGTTTCCTCTGCCTTGAGACACATCACACGCCGATTAGGAATTTGGATACCTCTAGCTTGGAGCTGGTCAACAATAAGGACCTTACCCCACAGGGCCAGCCGTAGGAAGAATTGGATCCTGAGTGGTATAAAACTGAACCACATTCGTGGGATAGTGGCCTGGCAGGGAGGGGTCCTTGGGAGAGGATTGGCGAGAGAGTGGTAGAGATACCATAGTGAAGGTCCCGGAAGGAGACGGGACCCAGCAGAGGCGGTCTGCCCCACTTAGTAGAGGTGGGAAAGAGGTGATCAGAAAGGATAACTCCTGAAAGGCGGGAACTTCTGAATCGCGAAGCAAGCGCCGGAGGTCGGGGTCCCAGACTCTTGAACCGTTCTTGGAAGGGAAGAGACACTGGATAGAAGCAAAAGGTGCTCTTGCCAGGCGAAAGAGAAGGAGACACCATAAAGAGAGGAGCAAGAGATATCCATGGGTCTAGCCAGAAACGAAACATGGATCCATCCCTCGGATGGAGGAGGATGTGGTCTTTGAAAGAAGGCAAGGAGTGGAGGATAGATCTCCAGAACCCTGAGGCTCGCTGCTGTGGTCTGTTGGGGATAGACCAGGGGGAAGAGGAGATTAAGTAATTTAAAAAGAAAAATTTGAAACATACACCCTTATCAGCCAAATACTCCACAATGCACAAATTGATGTCAGGAATTTGAAATGTGTATTATTATTAATACACCAGATTTCTTATTGTTTCTATCCCAGATCCAAAACCCAATTCTCCATCAAAATCCCACTTTCTAACAACCACATCAGATCAACCCACAGAAATCCTCACACCCAATTCTCGTTCTTCATCATCCTCCTCAGAGCAACCCACATCATTACTATACTCGCTACTATAATCATCCTGATCTGGATTGATATCGAGCTGCACAAAGTTGACTTGGATAGGCTCTGGGGCATTGCTAACTATCGGCTTCTGAACCATTGGAACAGCTTCTTTAGCAGGCTTAGGAAGAACAACTGCATCTCCTGGTTTCCAACCCACTGGTACATCCACAACAGGGGGCAAAGGAACAGGGTCACCAGGCTTCCAACCAGGTGGAACAATGGCAATATCACCAATCCCAATAGGCATACCAGGTTTCCAACCAGAAGGCATCAGAGGTGGAACTAATCCAATGGCCTAAAGTGGAGAAATCTGTTAAGAATAGAAACAGTATGGAAACCAGAAAACACAATTTCAAATTTTTATAGTATAAGTCCAATTGTTGTACTCTATGGCAATACGAGCTAAGAGGACGATGGCCATTTTATCTTTAACAAAGAGAGAGAAAACTGTTAGTAGCAAGTTTTCAATTTCATGGTGATTGTATTGATAAAAGGAAGAGGACAAGCTCTATTTTACTAGTTTGAGAAAAAGAAAACATCATAGCAGTAAAAGAAGGCTTAGAGAGAGAGAGAGAGAGAAATTGGCTAGAATGTATACCTACATGTACTGAAGCCACAAAAAATTCTGAAGCCAAACATTTTCAGCCACGTCTCCTGTTTGCAAAACATATTGAATGTATATCTACATGTACTGTTTCTATGGGTTTTACAATAATATAGTGTTACACTGGTCATTGCATGCCATTCATTTGGCAACACTACTTGTTTTGAAACACAAAAAAAAGGCAGGAAGCATCAAAGATGCTACTGTGGTGACTTTAACATACACATCTAAAAAACTTGCATCACTACGCAGATAAAACCCAATGAGAGAGATGCCAAATGTAGCTTCACTTCCTATCCCCCTCCTCTAACAAATCAGCTTTGCCTTTTCTTCTGGTTTTTGTCTCTCTCCACTCTGTATATATCACGGTTTTATTACTCTGATTTGAAGTATATGTGAGTGGTTCTTGGTCTTGGGTTTTGTTGTGCAAGTAGTACAAGAAACAGATGCCTGAATTTCTGCAATAGTGGTCACAAACACATGTATTTGCGCACATTTTACATGAATTCACAGAATTCAAACATGCAACAGGCATATATAGATATACACATAAATGCCTCCATATATATCCATGTACATCTATATGTACACAACCAGCAACACGCATATATACATATATAAATACATGGCTGGACATTCAACAAAACTGCATCAAATTTCAGAAAAAACCCATAGATCTTTCAAAGCTCATCAGCAAAACCCATAAAGCAAAGAACCCAATAGGTTGCAGCACCAACCACCAGAACTCAAATAGGTTGCTATGGACAGTTGCAGAGCCAGGAAAACATTAGCAAGAAATAAGGAACAGAGACAAAGATAGAGAGAGAGAGAGAGAGAGAGAGAGAGAGAGAGAAGAGAGAC